GTTGGAGTATTAAGCTTATACCAAAAGCTTTTAACTCGTTTGCAGATCTGCATTTTAAGTGGAGTTCTGTCAAGTTCGCCATAAGGGAAGAAGCTGGGAGTTGGTTGCCGTAACCCTGTAGTAATTTTTAAGAATTTTTAAGCAAACTTTTTCAATGATATCTACTTGCTCATAACTGCATACTTCTGCCCCATACATTAAAATTGGTACAATCATGACATTGAAAGCCTTAAGTAAGCAATCCAGTGGCAAATTAATATTTCTGGCTCTTTTCAGTAGACGAAACATTGCTTTTGTAGCAGTTAAACTTTTAATAGCATAGATAAAACTTCTGTTTTTATTCAATTGAATACCTAGACATTTATACCAACGATTTCGAGTTCTTGATCTCCAAAATAAAATGATAATTTCGTTTTTCTTGCTACACCTGAACCGAAAATTACAATTTTTGTTTTATCTATGTTAACAGTCAGTTTCCATGTTGTAGAGTATATTGTAAAGAAAGTCGGTTTTGTCCGAATAACACAGTATCTTCTGCTTATAGAAGAAGAAATAATTGTGCACATCATATTCCATTATCACCGACATGTTCTACTTTAACACAATCACAGTCATGTGATATGGGATGTGCTTCTAAATCCTTTAAGTATATTGAAAACAGTAATGGTGAAAGGTTTTCTCCTTGACGCACACCCGACATACTTAGAAAGTATTCGGATATGTCATTATTATGTAACATGCATGATTTTATATTTCCATACATATATTTAACGAGTGTCAGAAATTTGCCTCAAATACCATGATGCAACATTTCATGCCAAAGTCCAACTCTCCAAATGTTATCAAAGGCTTCGGTGAAATCTATGAAAGCACAAAAGAGCTTCTTCTTCGTGTGTTTGGGGATACTAATAATAGTATAAGTTTGTTTCTATCAAGGAATTTTGTTAATCTACTGTTTAAAATACAGCTAAGAATAGTAATGGGACAATAAGAGCCTGGATCTGATATGCCACCTTTATTTTTATATATTGGTTTAATAATTCCTGTAAGCCAAACATCGGGTACGGTTCCTGTGGGAAAGATCATGTTAAATAAATCTACATAAACCTATCCAAGGAAATCGATACAGTCAATTAAGTAGTCATTTTCTATGAGGTCAATGCCAGGTGCCTTATTTCGCTTTAAATAGTTCAGGGCTTCGGGGTTTGGATTTCAGACTTCCCAAAAGTCTTTACATGAGTGTTTAGCTTTACTTCTTAGAAGTTTACTTACGCTGTGTTTAAATTTGTTCTTGTATTTATTTAAACATCTTTTGTATGCCTTAGCCTGTTGTAGATAGGAGTTTCTGTTGGTTAAAACTGGAGAAATTGTAAAGTTTTCTTGCCTTATTATATGACTTGCGCATCTGTCTGCACTCAGATACAAACCAGGGCTTACTACACGTGTTATGATCATGTTTGTGTTTTGTGTTTTGTGTTTTGACAATGCACACTTCATTTACCTTAAAGGTCTAAAAGGGATCTTTTTGATACATGATTCTCAGATTTAAATCATAATTAACTGCAGCTTCCATTCCCTTTAGTTAGTTTAACGTCTCTCTTATCCCATAGAAAACATGGTTTCCCTATAACCGTATGTACCTTCAAGTCCCTGTAAATAAATCGAACCATCTCATTTATAGTTTAATGTTATCGTTTCCTTTACCTATGGACGTTTTTTCAGGGATCATGTGAAACTGGAAAGATCACTTGTCTACAGGCGTGACCCATCGGTTTCATTCCGTGAATGAACCTAACCATGCAAACAGATTTGACCTGTTGAATACAATAGTCAAAGCTCGCAGATATGTACATCCCCATAGAATTTTTTTAGGTCAAGCCTGTATGTAAGATTGAATATTATGTTACAAGTTAGTTTAAGCTGGCAAATTAAGCAAAGGTTCATTATTTCATAATGAACAATTTTAGTTTTCAAAGTTTGCTATAAAAAGCGGACTTTGGTCATCAAGAAATAGTGTGATAAGTGTTTGAAATAAACTTGTTGAATGATTCATTCATTCATTCATTCTTTCACGAGACCGGGTTTTATATTTTCAATTGAAAAACTTTTTTCCATTTTTTAAATTTTAATTTCAATTAGAATGAGAATTATTAAGAACCGCGTTATTTCTTGTATTCTATGAATATAAATTAATACAATGTATTTTTTATTATCGCTTTGATGTGTAAAAGCACATACAAACACAATCACGCGGTTAATTTCTATGGGTGTCAGAATCTACATCAAAACGTGGCTACTCAATGATCGAAAAAAATTGTAATCCATATATGTACATTTATAATAAAAGACTAGTGTTTCATTTTTATAATCAAATTAAAATCTCAAAATTTTACACCCAAACATGATATCAATCAAAATACTTTTGATAACAAAAACTTTTTTACATCAAGGTATTTAAATGACTGTGATTAGTTTTCACATTGCAATTTTTGATTGCTGTAAAGAAAAAAAATGGTTTTTACAAATTAAAAAAATAAAATGTTTTTGTTTTAAAAAGACATTAGTTTTGTTATGATAGTCAAATAAAGGTTGTTGTAACTTGCTAATCTTAACCATATAACGTATCTTTAAAGTTCAAAAGGTTCTTACCTATTTATTAAAATCATTTTCAGTATTTATGACAACTGATCATTTGACAGAGTATTACAACAACCTTTATCGGTGCAGCTTTGAACGATAGCATGAATGACAGACCAAGGGAAATAATTAATCATCAACTTCTTTTGATTGTCATGTTCTTGTTGAGACAACTGACAAACATGAACAAAAGTCAAAATAGGTAAAATGATACTTATTCGTTCTTAAATGTGAATTTTTTTTTATTCGTTTCTTTTAGTAATCCTCCAAGTATTTTACTCTTTTTACACCAGGGACTCCAAACTTGGCTTTTGTTTCTGAATATACATTGAGCTTTGATTGACCAAACTGTGTGATCTCTTTTGACCATAACCCACTTGAGGGAGTAGTTTGTCTGAACCGTACAGACTTGACAATTTTTTTCCAAGACTAGTTATCTACCTACAAAATGAATATATAAAAGTTAGTCTTCTATGAGACTGACAGTGATATTGTCCGAAGCGTCACTAGAATAATAATAATTCACTCACTTCACTTAATGTGACTGATACTGTTAAATGTTTCACAACAAATATATATTCTTGACATAAGCATGAGAGAGTGAGAGAGTTAGGGTTTAACACCGTTTTCAACACTTTTTCAATTATATCGCGGCGGCAAGGTTTATGGATGGAGGAAAGCCTGCATCACCAATGTGGTTATCTGATGCAGTGAATCCTGCGTGCTTTGGTTGATACCTACGAACCAAGAGTGTTACTGTCTTGCAATCTGTCATCCTTGTGGGATGGTCAATGAATACAATACTTTCTTGTGGCCTTGTCTGGTCTATGACTTAATAATGACTTTGCCCAAAAATATAAATTTTACTTCAACATATTTTTTCACTAAATAATCTGAAGCCACGATGAGGATTTATTCGTGATTTTTCTCACGGCAATACGCAGATTCAAATGTACCACTTGTCTGGTGTGGGATTCAAACGTCTCTTCGCAGGAACATTCCCTTTCCCATGTCATATATCTATGGGTTGAATTGTATTCAAATTTATTTGTCCCCCCACTAATTCTGTGAATAGAAAACAAAGCATGTTATTTTTTCTTCTTATGTAAGTTTTATTTGTCTATCATGCAAAAGAAAAAAATATTTTGTTTGAAAATAAAATTTTTTCTGTCATATATTAATTTACACATTATTTATCTTTTGATGCACGAATGTGTTTTTTCACTCACGCAAAACAAATTTACTTTGTTATTAATTTTTTTCATGCAAGTTTTATTTTCTCGTTGAATTTTTTTTCTATCAAACAAAAACTTTTCTTTTTCAGTTGTTTCATACAAGTTGATGTTTCTATCATAAAAAAAGAATTTAGCTTACGTTTTTAAGAAATAATATCTTTTATGAACTTCACACAAATTTTTTTTACAATTGATAATTTAAAAAACAATCAAACACAAAATACATAAATACCTTTCACATTTCAAGGATCACATCCCACTCGAGGTTTTCATTTCATGATGATGTAACCATTGTTTGCTTAGGCACTTGTCATACTTTCTTAGAAGTTACACATTTCTAAATAGAATTAAACCCATAGGGTCGAGATTCGATCCCATCTGCCAACAAGTACCTCTTATCATCTTGAGGTGTCAAAGCCAATCGACAACTTTGTCTGTGAAAAGTGTGATGTGTTTAAATCGAATTTGATAAAATGTGTCCATGTTCTGCTTGTAGTCGAAAATACAGACGTTAAACATTTGATGACGTAGATCTTTTTTGATGAAAGCTTTTTGAGATTTTGGTTTGAGGTATACACAAATACCTGATGCCCTCACTTTGGTCACACTTATTCATCGATTATTGTTTTAAAAGATAACGTTGTATTAATATGAATCAAAACACATCTACTGAAAGCATGTCTGTCCTTACATATTAAAAGATTTTAGTCCATCATTACTTGTAGATTCCCTGAAGGGAGTTTTTGTGAAAGAGAATATTCATACTAGGGAAAAGAAGTTTACTTAGGTAATTTAGAGTGTTATTTTGTAAATGTTTTACTGACATTTTCTGGGCTGCCAGAACAATGCTGCTGCTTGACAATTGTGACGTCACAGTGATGGTACAATGGATATGATGTCATGCCGGAGATATTGCTACAATCAAATGACATCATTTGTAATGATATCTCTAAGGAGGTATCGCTTGATCTCACACAAGGGAGATATTTGAGATATTTTTGAATGATATGACTTTTTACGCCTGCTTTGCCTCAAAAGTATGATTTTCCTTATATGGAGAATGGCATCTCATTCATAAATCACGTGACGCAACCTTCAGCTCTGGAGAAAAGAAACACAATACAAAAGTATCAAGGTTCAATTTATTAAAATAATAAGTTGGTACACTACGCCGTTTCCCATTGTACTTCAAAATTATGCTGTGTCTAATTCGCCGGGGGAAAAATAAGAAAGATAAGGCTTAGTTGGATGTGTTTACAAATGTATACGCTATGTAGAACGGACTATATCATCTACAGGTGGGTGGCTGGCCATGATATAGGGTGCAGTCAAGCGTTTAACTTGTCGACGGAGTCGAGTACAGTCCGTATCAGAAAAATTTAAGTCTGACCGAGGTCACGTGACGCCCGTGAGCGTGCATGGCAACGTCCGCCATCTTGTTTTCAGACACGTGTTGTTCTACGTTTAACGATTGGTCAAGTAATTAATTGTATGATTGCATCCTATCAGTTGACCCTTTATTAACGTAATTGAATATCTGGGAGATCTTTCTACATTAACCTGTTCATGGGTTTTTAAATCCTACCACACATAGCCGCCGCCGCCGCCGCCCCCCTCCCCGAATGTGCAAAAGGTTCAAATGTTCACAAAATGTTCTCGCACCAAAATGTACTCACAATGACATTCCATTCTGGGTCAAGACCCAACCCAACCCCGGTCGTAGTAACATTTCCATATAGGGACATTCATTACTATCCCGTGTTCTACGGTTAACGAATGGTCAAGTAATTAATTGCATGGTTGCATCTGGTCAGTTGACCCTTTATTAACCTACTTGACCTGTGACGTCATGCAGACATTTGCATATTAATGAGTTATTCTGTCAACTCCCCTACAATAGCTATTCAATTCGGTTTCAATACCTTATTGACAGAGGTGCTATTGACTACAATACCTATTCAACTCCCTGTTGACCTAAGGACAATACCTATTCAACTCACTGTTGACCTAGGACAATAGTGTGACCTCACAGATATCAAATGAGGTGAGAGGTCAAGGTGAGAGGTCAAGGCCAGGTCATATGGAGGTCATAGGTCAATGACATCATAGACACCTCATGGGAGGTGTTGGGGGTGTTCTGTATCCACATATAATCTACTATTATTCCTGTTGCAGTAGGAAAGGATTTTCATGCAAATGTAAGTACAGAAAACTACCTTTATAACGAACACCCTTATAACGAACTGGTATCCATTTGTTGCATATATGCTTTATGTATGCTTATAACAAACTACGGTTATTACGAACTAAAATTAGTGGTCCCTTGAGTTCGTTATAACCGTAGTTTACTGTATGCATAGTATTTTAGTATTTGACCATTCGCCTTTGCAAACAGCATAAAGAGCATAAATGGGAGTTGAGTTTTGTGAGTTTGCTGTCTCTGTCCAGGTTAAGAATTTTAGACACATTGGCCCAACAGTAAACTCGACCCCTTTGTTTTGACAGGTGCAGTCCATTGGACAAAATTCATTTTCAGTTGAAATACTGGGTGTACTTGAAGGTAAGTGGTTCGGGAACAAGGGGGTATAAGGTTAAATGATATTCTGTAATGTACAGTGACGGAGCTTGTGAAGGACGGTGCAAATTCAACATCTACTGAAGAAGAAGCTTATGAAGGCATGAATCGTAGCTAGTAATAGCAGAGCAGTAAAGCAATGATTTCGTAGTTACTCTTACCACAAGCATGCAGTACAGGAACCAGTTCCACCCTGAATTATCAAGGGCAAAGTACTACAGTTACCTGAAAACCTGAAATTGTAAATCAATAAGAATTGAGACTGCTCAGTGATCACAGATTTTATTCAGGTTTTTGAGGGCTTCATGGGAATTCCTTTGACAAATACAGCAACACTTCATTGGAATTATCACTACATTTGTCAAGGGCACAACTGATATGTGCTTAAAACTCAATAAAACATACCATAGGAATTCCATAATGCCATGATACTCCTCCAATATACAATCCCAGAGCATCTACCACCATCTCTCGTAGTGAATGCTGGGTTCAGTGATGCCACAAGCCTTAAGCATTGTTTCTATACTTGCTATCATGGGGGATGGACCACCTTCCCTGGTTTCAACCTGTCCGTCACTTCTTGTATGTGCTGCTCTTTGATTTGACTGTCTGTGAGAATAAAGATAAAACATACATAATTTTCTCTGACATCCCTTATTAAACTTTTGAAGACGTGAGATTTGTTTTTGACCCCCAACATCCCCAATAACCACACCACCCGATGTACACTTACTGTCTTTGTTCAAAATGTATTTATTAAGTTTTAGAATGAATCACAACATTAACTATTATAGTTGTTTTGGCATCTGGAATATTGGGCTTTTAGCATGGTGTCACCATTGATGTAGCTGTAGACCTGCTCAGCTCAAATTTGCAGCAACTGTCAGTAAGGTTTCCCACTTGCTGTTAAAGTGGTTTTAACAAATGTTTAAGGCTTTGAAGATGTGACTTGTACTTCACTGAAAAACAGGACCAATAGGGAATCAGTGAGTGAGTATGATTTTACGTCGCTTTTAGCAATATTCTTGCAATATCCCGACGGGGGACACCAGAAATGGGCTTCACACTTTCTGCCCATGTTGGGAATCGAATCATATGATTGTCTATATCTCATGTATAATAAAAATAAATAAAAAATCTGGATAGTTTCCGCCAGACACAAATTCACGCACAAAAAGTGTTTTGTTCAAACAAAATCCTCAGGCAACAATGATTATTATGAGAATGAGTTTTGTGTATAATGGAAATATACAAATATCCCTACCAAAAGTGGACTGGTATAGATCAATATTATGTATCGACAAATAGAACATTTCTCTGAAGGCCGTGCTTATGGTATAGAAAGTGAATGTAAACGAACGACATTTTCCATGTTACATTGTGTAGAACTAACTTTATCTACGTGTACCTACGACGGTGCATATAATTCCGCATGTACCACACGTTATAACAAAGAACAAATATATGGATACGCTGCAACAAGTTTTAGAATTCAACTGTTATTGGCAAAATATTTATTTCCGCGAGACAACAAATCAGGCACAAACCTTGTTTCCACAAACTCGCTAGGCAACAATGATTGTTAGCTATGGGCGCCATTTTACTATTTCCTCCCTACATATTGATATCACTTAATGACTTTAGATACTAGTATCAATAAATCGAATATCGAATCCGCCTCAAAGGTCGTTTGGACAATGAATAAGCATGAATTTCGCAAACAAGTCCTGTTTCATGAGCCGATTATGCGGCACAGATAAAACACGGAAACAGGTTTGTGGAAAATGGGGCGAAGTGTTTTGGCAATTTTCGTTTACTGATCGTGTTAGTTTGTTTTCTCTATATTTGTCTTCTCAGAAACTACGGGCCTATATAATTTTGGTCCGTGCAGGAACGAACGGGAACCAGTCAATGTGGAGTGTTGGCCAGAAGCTGGGTTCCATCTCTTCATTCAGTAAGTTGAAACAGTCTGGTTCCCTGGGTATGCCGCGCTGGCGCTACATAGTGTAAGCTGGGCCCCGTTTCTTATATCACACTATATTGGCATAGTGAAGCGCCAGCGTAGCATACCAAGGGAACCAGGTTGTATCTGTAATAACAACCAATGGAATTAACTATTACTATACACTGCGGTACGAAGCTATTAATAGTTTGGGTATTCCCGTTTTTCAGTTTACTTTTAAGAACAGCGAGCAAAAAGCCAGTGTAGAAACATGAACTCACGAAATAACTCTAATTGGCAGTAAGAGAAGGACTATTGATATGATGGGTTCATATTTAGGACGGGACGGGAACTTCTTGTTGCTGTATATCGAGCAAGATGATAAAAGTGAAAGCGAAAGTAGGATTCGCTCTACCGCGCACTGCAACGGAAGTACAGGTAGACCAACCAGGATGCTGTTTCAAGTACCAGTCTCCCACTTCTCAACATGCTGAAGACTTGCAACGTATTCCGCGACGTAGTGTTCCGTGAGTATATTTAGTATAGAATTATATTATCAGCTGGTAATATGTACACTGTAATCGGAGTCTGTGTAACAGACACGTAGGCATGCAGACAAAACGTCCGGAGTGAAGCATGTGCATACAGAAATGTTCAAGCAGATTTCAGACAGTGTCTCGGGATGTTGAGTTCATTTTGTGAGCGTTGTGCCGCCGTTGGTCCATCTGTCGTTACACTGCCAAACCTATGAATCTGAAACTTTGCATGAATCATACAAGCTATTGTGTCTCAGTCCTATAAAGTGCTCACAAAAATGTTCATCGTACTTTGAGCACGGCCGCCATTTTGAGGTCAGTCTGTTTGTCCTTGTCTGTTGTGCTTCCTGAATATCTTCTCTGGTGTGACACTGATTGAGCTGAAGCTTGATGACATCCCTATATGTTCAAGACGTTGAAATCCAATTTTTGATGTGGCTGCCAAGACACTCAAAATCTCTGTTTTTCTGATATTGTACATTTTGACCATGATTAACCTTCATGTTTTGATGTGAGGTGAAATGGTGTTTAGCGTCACGTCCCAAATTGTGAGTGTGTGCATGTATGTGCATGTGCGCGTGGTTGTACAACTCCGGACTAATGCTGATTTTATAGTGCTAACCCTCTGAGATACCAATCCGCAGTTTAACATGAATACACCACTCAGAAACAATATACTGACCCAAGCTGTCCAGTCCTTGTTTTAGCCCCTTACTGTGTCGGGCCGAGTGACAAGTACCTTCTTTTAATGTCTTTTGGTAGGATACAGCCAGGGACCGAACCACTGACGCTCTACCTCTAGACAAAGGAGATGGTCTTACGTTATGACCATGTCCTTTCAAATGTATTTTTGGCCCAGTTAAACTCATCACTTCCAAAACTGAGGAAGCTGAACTTTGGCAAGTATGTTTCACAACCATGAATGAATTTTGACCCTCGGCAATCCCAAGGCAGAAAGCTGAACCCTTGCATACACAATAATTACTATATCATAAGGCTTCATCTGGAATTTATCTTTGGTAGACATGCAAAAATAATACCATAAAAAAGAAAAAAACTAATGTAAGTCAACGAATTATATTAGGTTACGTTATATTTAAAAAAAAGATTCTTGGTTTGACGTGGGATGTAATTTTTTACAGATAGTCTTTAATTTTTTGGACAGTTACTGTGAATATTTCTGGGTGTCTGTAGACACCAGAGAAATGGGACTTTGGAATATGACATAGCAGTCATTATTCTTTTGTCAGCATATTAAACAAATTAGGAGGTCATTTCAAAGAAGTTATCACAAATTCCTTGGCACCTCCTCAAATGTTCCATCAAAGAAGAAGGTTCTGAACGTGTGGTACTCTTGTTATATCATGGACAGTGTTCATAAATGAGATAGGAAGATGCATTGCACGCCTGTGACAGTTGTCCTTGTGTCTTGGGGATGGGGGTTGAAGTTTATGGCAGTATTGCTTCCAGACCTGGCGGGTAGCCAGGTGTGCGGAAGCTATGCCCGAAGTACTGATTTAACTCTGAAATTTGATGGCATCTGCCATCTTGTTTATTTGACTTATTGACTTTTGCCATTGACTTATTACATTTCTTGGTGTGAATGTTGTCCAAACTGCACGAAAGTGCTTAAAATGCAATCAAATATTTTTGAAAATTAGATTTTTCCTCTTTTTTCATAAATGAGATAGGAAGATGCATTTTGAGAATGATAAATACTAATGTTTTTGTAAATATAAACAACAAAACCCTTTTCCTAATCAAAAGAAATCTCTGCTCAATACAGAGGACTTCATAAAAAGTGTGTTGTAATAAACAGCTGGAGAGCTGCAGAGCCATGGCAGTGCTGTCTGACTGGCTTCACTTAGTGTCACAGCTTGATTAGATTTCCCTCCATTTTCACAGATAGTGCATGGTGATGTGAAGAGCTGAACTGCGATGGCCAGTTCAGACGAGGAACCTGGAGGTCACCTGGTAACGGCAGGTGCAGCTGAGACCGAGGAGGACCTTGAGCTTGACCTTGTCACCAGAATAGGTTCAGGTAGGTGTCACTGTTGCCCTCCATAACGTCACCCTGTTTGCCATTTTAAAAATAATTTCCCCAGCAACTGAATTAGCTCCATCTCTTGAAAATACAGGAAAAATAAAGTAGCCTCATGTAACACACATGTACGCGCACACACACCGTATGTAATGATGTCCGGATATGCTTGGAGGTGTGTAATGATTGTCAAGGTGCTTCAATCTGGTATGAGGTTGTAGAGGCACATTACATCAAAGGGAACGTTTTGGTATAAGTCTGGATATGTTTAGAGGTGTGCAATGATTGTTAAGGTGCTTTAATCTGGTATGAGGTTGTAGAGGCACATTGTGTGGTGGTGTGTAATGATTGTCAAGGTGCTTCAGTCTGGTATGAGGTTGTAGAGGCACATTGTGTGGTGGTGTGTAATGATTGTCAAGGTGCTTCAGTCTGGTATGAGGTTGTGGAGGCACATTGTGTGGTGGTGTGTAATGATTGTCAAGGTGCTTCAGTTTGGTATGAGGTTGTAGAGGCACATTGTGTGGTGGTGTGTAATGGATGTCAAGGTGCTTCAGTCTGGTATGAGGTTGTTGAGGCACATTGTGTGGTGGTGTGTATTGAATGTCAAGGTGCTTCAGTCTGGTATGAGGTTGTAGAGGCACATTGTGTGGTGGTGTGTAATGGATGTCAAGGTGCTTCAGTCTGGTATGAGGTTGTGGAGGCACATTGCGTGGGGGTGTGTAATGACTGTCAAGGTGCTTCAATCTGGTATGAGGTTGTAGAGGCACATTGTGTGGTGGTGTGTAATGATTGTCAAGGTGCTTCAGTCTGATATGAGGTTGTGGAGGCACATTGCGTGGGGGTGTGTAATGACTGTCAAGGTGCTTCAATCTGGTATGAGGTTGTAGAGGCACATTGCGTGGTGGTGTGTAATGATTGTCAAGGTGCTTCAGTCTGGTATGAGGTTGTGGAGGCACATTGCGTGGGGGGATGTAATGACTGTCAAGGTGCTTCAATCTGGTATGAGGTTGTAGACGCACATTGCGTGGTGGTGTGTAATGATGGTCAAGGTGCTTCAATCTGGTATGAGCTGGTAGAGGCACATTATGTGGTGGTGTGTAATGATTGTCAAGGTGCTTAAGTCTGGTATGAGGTTGTGGAGGCACATTACGTGGTGGTGTGTAATGAATGTCAAGGTGCTTCAATCTGGTATGAGGTTGTAGAGGCACATTGTGTGGTGGTGTGTAATGATTGTCAAGGTGCTTCAGTCTGGTATGAGGTTGTATAGGTACATTGTGTGTAGGTGTGTAATGGATGTCAAGATGCTTCAATCTGGTATGAGGTTGTAGAAACACATTACGTGGTGGTGTGTAATGATTGTCAAGGTGCTTCAGTCTGGTATGAGGTTGTAGAGGCACATTATGTGGTGGTGTGTAATGATTGTCAAGGTTCTTCAATCTGGTATGAGGTTGTAGAGGCACATTAAATGGTGGTGTGTAATGATTGTCAAGGTGCTTCAGTCTGGTATGAGCTGGTAGAGGCACATTATGTTGTGGTGTGTAATGATTGTCAAGATGCTTCAATCTGGTATGAGGTTGTAGAAACACATTACGTGGTGGTGTGTAATGATTGTCAAGGTGCTTCAGTCTGGTATGAGGTTGTAGAGGCACATTATGTGGTGGTGTGTAATGATTGTCAAGGTTCTTCAATCTGGTATGAGGTTGTAGAGGCACATTGCGTGGTGGTGTGTAATGAATGCCAAGGTGCTTCAATCTGGTATGAGGTTGTAGAGGCACATTATGTGGTGGTGTGTAATGATTGTCAAGGTGCTTCAGTCTGGTATGAGGTTGGGGAGGCACATTACGTGGTGTGTGTAATGAATGTCAAGGTGCTTAAGTCTGGTATGAGGTTGTGGAGGCACATTATGTGGTGGTGTGTAATGAATGTCAAGGTGCTTCAATCTGGTATGAGGTTGTAGAGGCACATTGTGTGGTGGTGTGTAATGATTGTCAAGGTGCTTCAGTCTGGTATGAGGTTGTAGAGGCACATTGTGTGGTGGTGTGTAATGATTGTCAATGTGCTTCAGTCTGACATGAGGTTGTTGAGGCACATTACGTGGTGGTGTGTGATGAATGTCAAGGTGCTGCAGTCTGGTATGAGGTTGTTGAGGGACATTGTGTGGTGGTGTGTAATGGTGGTCAAGGTGCTTCAGTCTGGTATGAGGTTGTTGAGGCACATTGTGTGGTGGTGTGTAATGAATGTCAAGGTGCTTCAGTCTGGTATGAGGTTGTAGAGGCACATTGTGTGGTGGTGTGTAATGATTGTCAATGTGCTTCAGTCTGGTATGAGATTGTAGAGGCACATTACATGGTGGTGTGTAATGGTGGTCAAGGTGCTTCAATCTGGTATGAGGTTGTTGAGGCAGATTGTGTGGTGGTGTGTAATGATTGTCAAGGTGCTTCAGTCTGGTATGAGGTTGTGGAGGCACATTGCGTGGTGGTGTGTAATGAATGCCAAGGTGCTTCAATCTGGTATGAGGTTGTAGAGGCACATTGTGTGGTGGTGTGTAATGAATGTCAAGGTGCTTCAGTCTGGTATGAGGTTGTGGAGGCACATTATGTGGTGGTGTGTAATGAATGCCAAGGTGCTTCAATCTGCTATGAGGTTGTAGAGGCACATTGTGTGGTGGTGTGTAATGATTGTGAAGGTGCTTCAATCTGGTATGAGGTTGTGGAGGCACATTGTGTGGTGGTGTGGAATGAATGTCAAGGTGCTTCAGTCTGGTATGAGGTTGTGGAGGCACATTGTGTGGTGGTGTGTAATGGATGTCAAGGTGCTTCAGTCTGGTATGAGGTTGTTGAGGCACATTACGTGGTGGTGTGTAATGAATGTCAAGGTGCTTCAGTCTGGTATGAGGTTGTTGAGGCACATTGTGTGGTGGTGTGTAATGATTGTCAAGGTGCTTCAGTCTGGAATGAGGTTGTTGAGGCACATTGTGTGGTGGTGTGTAATGGATGTCAATGTGCTTCAGTCTTGTATGAGATTGTAGAGTCACATTGTGTGGTGGTGTGTAATGAATGTCAATGTGCTTCAGTCTGGTATGAGATTGTCGAGGCACATTACATGGTGGTGTGTAATGATGGTCAAGGTGCTTCAATCTGGTATGAGGTTGTTGAGGCATATTGTGTGGTGATGTGTAATGATTGTCATGTGGCTTGAATCTGGTTTAGGAGGCACACTGTGTGGTGGTATCTTCTAGAAACGTTGATAAAGTAGTTGTTTCTAATCATCAAGGCAAGATGAGAATATACATAAATTTATGCAAGAACTACGTATTCCGTACTTGTCATCCTCTCCATGAAGTGGTAGCGGTATATTGGAAGCCCTGCTGTCTGTCTGTTTGTGAAAGACTGTTCAATCGTTCTTAATCAAATGTTGCACAGTATCTAACCTTGGACTGGTGCCTTTTACCATTTAGGAATTTTTTAAATTTCTTAGTTTGGTTTCCATCACAATAAATTGAGTGTAGGTTCAGATAGATGAGGCCAGGGTTTATTTCCAGGGCATAACTCAAAGACCATTTATTATTTACTGATTACCCCCATCTCTCTCTCTCCCCTTCTCTCATTCGGGTAATAATGAACTTGGCTATTACCTGTTGAAGATAATTCAAGAATTACTTATCTGCTGAACTTCATGTGTAGCTTATTAACTTGATTCATGATTTATATGTTTTGGTCTAAAGCAATTGTTATTGCTGGGATAAGATTATAATCTAAAGAAAGCAAAAGACCCATTGAATTAAACTTCAAAATGATGTACACTCAACTCTTGAGCACTGCAATAATATTAAATGATGTTATTCAACGTGTAAAGAAATTATCTGATCAATTCAAATGTTGGTTACCATGGTTACCAATGATTCCTCATTATTGGTGTTGACAGGTGACCGTCCTTCAGGGGGCTCCCAGGTGGCCAACACTTTGAACATCATCACTGGACAGGCTGGACAAGGAACACTTGGGAGAGGTGAGTGTTCATGGCTGAAGGGTCAGTAAACTACTAGATCTTGTGCAAGACTCTTACCATTCTCAAAGAGCAGATCAATCAGAATCTTATTCCCCTTGTCCCAAATGCCACCCTCATGTACTGATGGGTGATGGAGTCGTGTGTACTAACTCCTGAAGTATTGACAATGATGTTGTGCAAGACTCTTACCATTCTCAGGGAGCAGATATTGCCTATGTTCAATCCCAAATGCCACCCTCATGTACTGATGGGTGATGGAGTCGTGTATGCTAACTCCTGAAGTATTGACAATGATGTTGTGCCAGACTCTGTTAAACAGTTCTCAGAGCAGATCAGTGCTTATTTTCTGATGATGTGACCTCCTATGGAGGTGGCGTAAGAGCTTAACACAGAGAGGTATTGCATCAGAGTAAAAGTTAAGATTTAAATTTGGTTGAATTTGTTGAAGAGGGTTGAAACTGGCAAAATGGCAAACATTGCCATTATCAACAAGACTGAATAAAGAGGGCTATAAAATATGAATGTAGTTGTGTACACTAAGTCAGGAACACATCTGTTCCCCCTGATAATTAACACAAGAAGATTTAGTTAGCAAATATTTTGTAGTTTAATTTTAACATCCAAGTATTTGCTGGGATGGTTAATAGTTTTCATTCCTCCACAGGTACCCTTGATTTGCGCACAGACGAAGCGAAGAAGATTTTTCTTGCAACTGAACCCTACAAAGACGTGAAACGAAAATTGAAGGCATTTGGACATGTGACCATCTGCGGGGCTTCGGGAGAAGGCAAGACAACGATGGCTCTGGTGTTAGGTTCACAGTACAGAGACAAAGGCTACGAGGTCGTGTTTGTGGACAACATTGAGAAGTTTGACTTAGACCAGTGTCTTAGTAGCCACCCCAGAGTATTCCTCATAGTAGATGACATGTTTGGTACTGTTGGATTATCTGCGAATACATCACGGGTGAAATCCTTTCTAAACAACCTTCTCCTCCATTTAGAACAAAAGCGGAGTGCGGAAAAGCTGCAGTCAGAAATGCATGAAAGCACTGATGCTGTTGGTAAATCCAGAAAGAAAGAGCAGAGTCAACCAGAATTTCAAACAAAAGATAGTGATGCTGTTGGTAAATCCAGAAAGAAAGTGCAGAGTCAACCAGAATTTCAAACAAAAGATAATGATGCTGTTGGTAAATCCAGAAAAAGAGTTCAGAGTCAACCAGAATTTCAAACAAAGGATATTCTTGTTGTCTTCACATCAAAGTCATACAACTTCCATGATGGACTTGCAAAACTGCAGTACGAGGGTTTCAAACTGTTCAAAGGTCAAACTGTAATGGATTTAACCACACTAGATAAATACTGGCTTTCTGACAAAGAGAAAAAGACAATATTTGAACGACATAGGAAAGCTCTCGGTGACTGCTCCATGCAACATATACCTGATTACAGTGAACTGGAAATATGTTCAAATATCTTTGGATTCCCTCTTATTTGTAAACTTTGTTTTGAATTTTCATCTTTCTACAAAAATGCAAAATCATTTTTCAAGGAACCACTGTTTTATCTCAGGTTAGAGCTAAAGCGTTTGCTTGAAGAGAGAAATGACCGATCGGCCATTCTGGTTCTGATGCTACTGAGTGAAGACAAATTGGACCTGAGCAAGTTAGACAGTGAAGGTGAGGATAAGGAAATGGACAGCCTGGTCAAAACTGTTTTACAGATGATGTCTGACGCTACACGTTCAGGCATATACAAAGCAGCTAAAGGTTTGAGAGGTACATTCTTCACAAGAGGAGACACTGTTGGCTTTGCTCATTCTTCAATCTATGATGCTTGTGCCTGTGCCTTGTATAATATCAGTCCAATCTTTGTTTTGAAGCACTGCAGTGATGACTTTCTGTTTGAAAGGGTACAAGGTGACAAGGTTGAAGAAACCAAAGTTGATGATCATCTCCATTTGATATATGTCTCAGAGAATTATGATGACCTACTTACCACAAGGTTTACACAGTCTATCAAACAAGGACAGTTTTCTAAATCAGTGACACATCCAATTCTCAAACAAGACACCACAGTTTTCAAGCTGCTCAACAAACTTCAGTGTGATCGGACAAAACAGCTTCACCAGCATAATCAAACTGATTCTAAGGAAGAACCTTGGTTTCACAAGAAAGAGAAAGGACAATGTTTTCTGTACTGGGCAGTTCTTGGACATAATGCACGTCTAGTTACAGGTATAGAACACACAACTGGAGAAGAGTTCACTCAAGGAGAAATCAGTGAGGCCATGGAAGGATGTGCACAAAGCAACAATGTGACAGCATTGAAATGGCTGTTCAGCAGGAGTGAGAAACATGACCATCAGTTGACACTGAACAGACTTTTGTTGGCAGCTGCTGAAAGTGGCAGCTCTGACATACTAGTGTATCTGCTGCAGGAAGGCGCTGATATTAACACAAGAGACAAGGGAAAGCAAAACATCTTCCATCTTGTCTGTAAATCGGGAATGGAAAAACCCCTGAAAGTCCTGTTAACCAGGAAACCTGGGAATAATGTTATAAACTCTGTTGATGTGAATGGCAGGACCCCTGTCATGGTTGCAGCACACACGGGATCAGAGGGATGTTTTAAGTTACTACAGACAACATCAAATTTGAATGTGAAAGATAAAAATGGCAGCGGAATTATTCATCTTGCTTGTCGTGGTGGGAACACTGCTATAGTACAACATGTCCTGTCTCCATCTAACATCAACAGCAGAGGGATGCATGGATGGACAGCAGCAATGAATGCAGCTGTCAGTGGACATCAAAGTGTGTTTGACCTCCTTTTGTCCAACCAGGCTGACCTCACACTGGTGTCTACATCTGGTGATAGTTTACTTCATCTTGCCTGTCAGGGTGGGAACACTGCTATAGTACAACATGTCCTGTCTCCATCTAACATCAACAGCAGAGGGATGCATGGATGGACAGCAGCAATGAATGCAGCTGTCAGTGGACATCAAAGTGTGTTTGACCTCCTTTTGTCCAACCAGGCTGACCTCACACTGGTGTCTACATCTGGTGATAGTTTACTTCATCTTGCCTGTCAGGGTGGGAACACTGCTATAGTACAACATGTCCTGTCTCCATCTAACAACAACAGCAGAGGGATGCATGGGTGGACAGCAGCAATGAAGGCAGCTGTCAGTGGACATCAAAGTGTGTTTGACCTCCTTGTGTCCAACCAAGCTGACCTCACACTGGTGGATACATATGGTGACAGTTTACTTCATCTTGCCTGTCAGGGTGGGAACACTGCTATAGTACAACATGTCCTGTCTCCATCTAACATCAACATCAGAGGGGAGTATGGATGGACAGCAGTGATGCAGGCAGCTGTCAGTGGACATCAAAGTGTGTTTGACCTCCTTGTGTCCAACCAAGCTGACCTCACACTGGTGGATACATATGGTGACAGTTTAGTTCATCTTGCCTGTCGTGGTGGAAACACTGCTATAGTACAACATGTCATGTCTCCATCTAACATCAACAGTACAGGCAGACATGGATCGACAGCAGTGATGCAGGCAGCTGTCAATGGACATCAAAGTGTGTTTGACCTCCTTGTGTCCAACCAAGCTGACCTCACACTGGTGGATACATATGGTGACAGTATACTTCATCTTGCCTGTCGTGGTGGGAACACTGCTATAGTACAACATGTCCTGTCTCCATCTAACATCAACATCAGAGGGGAGTATGGATGGACAGCAGTGATGCAGGCAGCTGTCAGTGGACATCAAAGTGTGTTTGACCTCCTTTTGTCCAACCAAGCTGACCCCACACTGGTGGATACATCTGGTGACAGTTTACTTCATCTTGCCTGTCAGGGTGGAAACACTGCTATAGTACAACATGTCCTGTCTCCATCTAACATCAACATCAGAGGGGAGTATGGATGGACAGCAGTGATGCAGGCAGCTGTCAGTGGACATCAAAGTGTGTTTGACCTCCTTGTGTCCAACCAAGCTGACCTCACACTGGTGTCTACATCTGGTGACAGTTTACTTCATCTTGCCTGTCGTGGTGGAAACACTGCTATAGTACAACATGTCATGTCTCCATCTATCATCAACAGTACAGGCAGACATGGATCGACAGCAGTGATGCAGGCAGCTGTCAATGGACATCAAAGTGTGTTTGACCTCCTTGTGTCCAACCAAGCTGACCTCACACTGGTGGATACATATGGTGACAGTTTACTTCATCTTGCCTGTCAGGGTGGGAACACTGCTATAGTACAACATGTCCTGTCTCCATCTAACATCAACATCAGAGGGGAGTATGGATGGACAGCAGTGATGCAGGCAGCTGTCAGTGGACATCAAAGTGTGTTTGACCTCCTTGTGTCCAACCAAGCTGACCTCACACTGGTGGATACATCTTGTGACAGTTTACTTCATCTTGCCTGTCGTGGTGGGAACACTGCTATAGTACAACATGTCCTGTCTCCGTCTAACATCAACATCAGAGGGGAGTATGGATGGACAGCAGTGATGCAGGCAGCTGTCAATGGACATCAAAGTGTGTTTGACCTCCTTGTGTCCAACCAAGCTGACCTCACACTGGTGGATACATCTGGTGACAGTTTACTTCATCTTGCCTGTCGTGGTGGAAACACTGCTATAGTACAACATGTCCTGTCTCCATCTAACATCAACATCAGAGGGGAGTATGGATGGACAGCAGTGATGCAGGCAGCTGTCAGTGGACATCAAAGTGTGTTTGACCTCCTTGTGTCCAACCAAGCTGACCTCACACTGGTGTCTACATCTGGTGACAGTTTACTTCATCTTGCCTGTCAGGGTGGAAACACTGCTATAGTACAACATGTAATGTCTCGTACTAATATCAACAGTACAGGCAGACATGGATCGACAGCAGTGATGAAGGCAGCTGAGTATGGACATCAAAGTGTGTTTGACCTCCTTGTGTCCAACCAAGCTGACCTCACACTGGTGGATACATCTGGTGACAGTTTACTTCATCTTGCCTGTCGTGGTGGGAACACTGCTATAGTACAACATGTCCTGTCTCCATCTAACATCAACAGTAGAGGGGAGTATGGACGGACAGCAGCAATGCAGGCAGCTGTCAATGGACATCAAAGTGTGTTTGACCTCCTTGTCTCCAACCAAGCTGACCTCACACTGGTGGATACATCTGGTGACAGTTTACTTCATCTTGCCTGTGAGGGTGGGAACACTGCTATAGTAGAAAATGTCCTGTCTCCATCTAACATCAACAGTAGAGGGGAGTATGGACGGACAGCAGCAATGCAGGCAGCTGTCAATGGACATCAAAGTGTGTTTGACCTCCTTGTCTCCAACCAAGCTGACCTCACACTGGTGGATACATCTGGTGACAGTTTACTTCATCTTGCCTGTGAGGGTGGGAACACTGCTATAGTAGAAAATGTCCTGTCTCCTTCTAACATCAACAGTAGAGGGGAGTATGGATGGACAGCAGTGATGCAGGCAGCTGTCAGTGGACATCAAAGTGTGTTTGACCTCCTTGTGTCCAACCAAGCTGACCTCACACTGGTGGATACATCTGGTGACAGTTTACTTCATCTTGCCTGTCGTGGTGGAAACACAGCTATAGTACAACATGTCATGTCTCCATCTAACATCAACAGTACAGGCAGACATGGATCGACAGCAGTGATGCAGGCAGCTGTCAATGGACATCAAAGTGTGTTTGACCTCCTTGTGTCCAACCAAGCTGACCTCACACTGGTGGATACTTATGGTGACAGTTTACTTCATCTTGCCTGTCGTGGTGGGAACACTGCTATAGTACAACATGTCCTGTCTCCATCTAACATCAACAGTAGAGGGGAGTATGGATGGACAGCAGTGATGCAGGCAGCTGTCAGTGGACATCAAAGTGTGTTTGACCTCCTTGTGTCCAACCAAGCTGACCTCACACTGGTGGATACATCTGGTGACAGTTTAGTTCATCTTGCCTGTCAGGGTGGGAACACTGCTATAGTACAACATGTCCTGTCTCCATCTAACATCAACAGTAGAGGGGAGTATGGACGGACAGCAGCAATGCAGGCAGCTGTCAATGGACATCAAAGTGTGTTTGACCTCCTTGTGTCCAACCAAGCTGACCTCACACTGGTGGATACAGATGGTGATAGTTTACTTCATCTTGCCTGTGAGGGTGGGAACACTGCTATAGTACAAAATGTCCTGTCTCCTTCTAACATCAACAGTAGAGGGATGCATGGACATACACCAGTAATGATGGCAGCTGTCACTGGACATCAAAGTGTGTTTGACCTCTTTGTGTCCAACCAAGCTGACCTCACACTGGTGGATACATCTGGTGACAGTTTACTTCATCTTGCCTGTCGTGGTGGGAACACTGCTATAGTACAACATGTCCTGTCTCCGTCTAACATCAACAGCAGAGGGAGGCAAGGATACACACCTGTGATGAAAGCTGTATTCCATGGACATCAAGATGTAGTTGACCTCCTTGTGCAGAACAAAGCTGACCTCACACTTCTAACAGACAGTAATGAGGACATTGAATGTGTAGCTCAGATAGGAGGACATCCTACACTAGCCAAGTATCTTCAAACAGTTAAACATCCTCACTGATTAAGCTGTGTGTTATGTGTTCTGAAGGAAATTTATTGAGTCTGTATCGCAACTATGTTCTACTACAGAACATTCATTCTTGCAGACTTGGAAACACTGTAAACATTTAGTCAACAGTATTGCTTAACAATTGTTAAGTGGCTGTCAACATTTGAAGCTATTGCCTGCAAATGCAGGTGAGCTACAGTGCTGAAGCACCATATTAACAGTTAAGTCAGTTTTCTCAAATTTTCACTGAGAGAAAATTATTTTTCCATTATTTAATCTGAATATATAATATGAGAGCAAGGTGGAGGCTTTTCGTCCCCAAAAGACAGGAATATCGTTGAAATGATGATTTTACAAACTTCCCATCTTTTTTCTGATACGAAGAGCTAACACTGACCATCCATGTATTGCCACTCAGCTAGCATTGTAGAAATGTCCTAATTTTGCTCTAGAGAAGTTTGTACAAATATTGTGATTGTAAATTTTGGCTCAGTTTGTAATAAAATTCAATCATCCTTGAAGATTGATGGTTTTGCTAGTTTTTCTTTCAAATCCAGAATAAACTTAACCCTACAATCACATTTATAGACAGATTTAGCTTGCTTGGACACTGACCTCCTTCAGTGAGGAGAACATACACGTATCTGCTGAATCAGCATTCTTCATGAGCCGACAGTTACGTAAAATAATGAAATGCCGTAACTTGTTACCTTATTTAATTACATTCATCAGCAATCACTGACGATTGAATATTGCACTTATAAAGCGATGTGCATGTGTGCGTGCGTGTGTGCGCAGTTGATGTGGGTATTAGTCGGGACTGATGCCGATTTATAGTGATAGCTCACTGAGATACCATGCTGCAGTTTAACATGAATGCCCTCTTTATTGCACTATCCATCTTGGACTGAAGAAATGTGAACGCGGTGGCCGGGATCAGGCTTGACCAAGTTCCTCCTCAGTGAGCGACACCTTCGTTACACTCCCGGTAACATCCCTGATAACAGTGTAGGCGCGGCCATTACAAGAATCTTGAAATTTGCCCTCGAAGCCCAAATGTAGCAATGGTTATACTTCTGTATGTCTTTGGGAATGCCATCATAGTGAATTTTGAAAAGAATCACGAATGACCATTAATCACTGGATTGTCTGTTCCAGACACAATTATTTACAGACCTCCGTCATTTAGCTGGAATATTGCTGAGTGCGGCGTTAAACAACAAACTAACCAACCAAATTTACCTTTTTGTTTGTTTGATCAGATTGGTTCTAGATTCTAGCAGGGGTAAGAGTATTCGGTGTTAGGTCACTTGTTTGTAAACATAATGGTCGGGTCAGCTGCGAGTTCAACTCCAAGTATGGATGTAGCCACCTATCACAGTGGGGAGCTTTGACTGGTATCGGAGATAGCCTGTTCGCAGAGCTCTCTATACTATCGCTATGAGGACCTCGATGCTTGACTTGGAAAGGGACACAACTCTCAAGTGCCACCCATCTTTCCTTCCACGTCAGATAACGTACAGGCATCAAATGTGGTCTTCCGAGTCCTAATCATGTCAGCGCTGGTTACCATATGCCCTCTTCTGTTCATCAATTAATATCAGTTATTCTATTTTTCTACCAGTGAGTTATAGTACTTAACGTCCAAGAGGGTCTGGAAATGACCGCATTTGTCTGGGAGGTTTCATCAGACGTCTGACAGTCCATAATGCAGTGCAACAATGCAGATCTTATGGTAATTTCAGACGTATGTTAAGGTCATCATTACATATTATAATTAATAAGATAATTAATAATCAATGGTCATCATATATATCTGACTGACTCCAACAAATGTATCCGACAAATCCAGTTATAATTTGAGAAAAGGAACATCATCTTTCAAAAGAACATCTAACACTGGTTCCCTCAATACCTGGAACAAACTCAGTATTGATATTGAAAGAAGTCCTACTTAACCTGCATTTAAAGCTAATATGAAACACTTCAGAGATTTCTCGCGGAGGCCCCTGTATGCTATTTAGTAGGACCGCTACTATGGGCTAGTACCGTGAAAAAGGTTTGCTAATGTGTGCGGTAGGATTTACAGCACACTTCCTCAACCTGATTGGTTACAAATAATTAAATAGGTTGAACACTTGTACGCCAATCTCTTCTTTAATTACTTATCTGCAAATACATAGACTTTTTTTATGGAAAGGGAATTTTGTATCAAAAACCAAAACCAGAAACAAGATGTTATCCCCCTTGAAAACACCTGAGGTTTTGTTTTTGATCTCATATTGTTATTCAGGGTTGCCTTTCTATGAAATAAAGCATAGAATTTCTCAAGGATTGACTGTGTTACTCAAGGGTGGGCCCAGTTAAAGGGATGGCCCAGTTAATCAAGCGATGGCCCAGGTACTCAAGGGATGGCCCAGTTACTCAAGGGATGACCAAGTAAGTCAAGGAATGGTCCAGGGGCTCAAGGGATGGCCCAGTTACTCAAGGGATGACCAAGTAACTCAAGGGATGGTCCAGATACTCAGGGGTGGGCCCAGTAGAATCATGGGATGACCCAGCTACTCGAGAGATGGCCCAGTTACTCAAGGGATGACCCAGTTATTCAAGGGATGACCCAGTTACTGAAGGGATGGTCCAGTTACTGAAGGGATGGTCCAGTTACTGAAGGGATGGTCCAGTTACTGAAGGGATGGTCCAGTTACTCAAGGGATGGTCCAGTTACTCAAGGGATGGTCCAGTTACTCAAGGGATGGTCCAGTTACTCAAGGGATGGTCCAGTTACTCAAGGGATGGTCCAGTTACTGAAGGGATGGTCCAGTTACTAAAGGAAAGCCCAGTGACTCAAGGGATGGCCCAGTAACTCAAAGGTGGGCCCAGTTACTCAAAGGATGACCCAGTTACTCAAGGGTAGGCCCAGTCAAATCATGGGATGACCCAGTTACTCAAGGGTAGGCCCAGTTAATTAAGGGATGGCCCAGTTACGAAAGGGGTGGCCGAGTTACTCAAGGGTAGGCCCAGGCAAATCATAGGATGGCCCAGTTACTCAAGGGTGGGCCCAGTTAATTAAGGGATGGCCCAGTTACTCAAGGGGTGGCCCAGTTACTCAAGGGATGGCCAAGTTACTCAAGGAATGGCCAGGTTACTCAAGGGTGGGCCAAGCAAAATGATGGGATGACCCAGTTACTCAAGGGTGGGCCCAGTTACTTAAGGGATGGCCAAGTTACTCAAGGGATGGCCCAGTTACTCAAGAGGTGGCCCAGTTACTCAAGGGATGACCAAGTTACTCAAGGGATGGTCCAGTTACTCAAGGGGTGGCCCAGTTACTAAAGGGATGGCCAAGTGACTTAAGGGATAGTCCAGTTACTCAAGGGTGGGCCACGCAAAATCATGGGATGACCCAGTTACTCAATGGATGACCCAGTGTCTCAAAGGATGGCCCAGTTACTCAAGGGTGGGCCCAGTTACTCAAGGGATGACCCAGTGACTCAAGGGGTGGGCCAGTTACTCAAGGGTGGGCCAAGCAAAATCATTGGATGACCCAGTTACTCAACGGATGACCCAGTGACTCAAAGGATGACCCAGTTACTCAAGGGTGGGCCCAGTTACTCAAGGGATGGTCCAGTTACTCAAGGGATGACCTAGTTACTCAAGGGATGGCCCAGTTACTCAAGAGATGGTCCAGTTACTCAAAGAATGGTCAAGTTACTCAAGGGATGACCAAGTTACTCAAGGGAAGGCCCAGTTACTCAAGTGATGGCCTAGTTACTCAAGGAATGGTCCAGTTACTCAAGGGATGACCAAGTTACTCAAGGGATGACCAAGTTACTCAAGGGATGGCCCAGTTACTCAAGGGATGGTCCAGTTACTCAAGTGATGGTCCAGTTACTCAAGGAGTGGCCCAGTTACTGAAGGAATGGCCTAGTTACTGAAGGAATGGCCCAGTTACTGAAGGGATGGTCCAGTTACTCAAGGGATGGTCCAGTTACTCAAGGGATGGTCCAGTTACTCAAGGGATAGTCCAGTTACTGAAGGGATGGTCCAGTTACTGAAGGAAAGCCCAGTACCTCAAGGGATGGCCCAGTAACTCAAAGGTGGGCCCAGTTACTCAAAGGATGACCCAGTTACTCAAGGGTAGGCCCAGTCAAATCATGGGATGACCCAGTTACTCAAGGGTAGGCCCAGTTAATTAAGGATGGCCCAGTTACTGAAAGGGTGGCCGAGTTACTCAAGCGATGACCCAGTTACTCAAGGGTAGGCCCAGTCAAAACATAGGATGACCCAGTTACTCAAGGGTGGGCCCAGTTAATTAAGCGATGACCCAGTTACTCAAGGGTAGGCCCAGTCAAAACATAGGATGACCCAGTTACTCAAGGGTGGGCCCAGTTAATTAAGGGATGGCCCAGTTACTCAAGGGATGGCCCAGTTACTCAAGGGATGGCCAAGTTACACAAGGGATGGCCAAGTTACTCAAGGGTGGGCCAAGCAAAATGATGGGATGACCCAGTTACTCAAGGGTGGGCCCAGTTACTTAAGGGATGGCCCAGTTACTCAAGGGATGGCCCAGTTACTCAAGGGGTGGCCCAGTTACTCAAGGGATGACCAAGTTACTCAAGGGATGGTCCAGTTACTCAAAGGGTGGCCCAGTTACTAAAGGGATGGCCAAGTGACTTAAGGGATGGTCCAGTTACTCAAGGGTGGGCCACGCAAAATCATGGGATGACCCAGTTACTCAATGGATGACCCAGTGACTCAAAGGATGGCCCAGTTACTCAAGGGTGGGCCCAGTTACTCAAGGAATGACCCAGAGACTCAAGGGGTGGCCGAGTTACTCAAGGGCGGGCCAAGCAAAATCATTGGATGACCCAGTTACTCAACGGATGACCCAGTGACTCAAAGGATGGCCCAGTTACTCAAGGGTGGGCCCAGTTACTCAAGGGATGGTCCAGTTACTCAAGTGATGACCTAGTTACTCAAGGGATGGCCCAGTTACTCAAGGGATGGTCCAGTTACTCAAAGAATGGTCAAGTTACTCAAGGGATGACCAAGTTACTCAAGGGAAGGCCCAGTTACTCAAGTGATGGCCTAGTTATTCAAGGAATGGTCCAGTTACTCAAGGGGTGACCAAGTTACTCAAGGAATGGCCTAGTTACTGAAGGAATGGCCTAGTTACTGAAGGAATGGCCTAGTTACTCAAGGGGTGGCCTAGTTACTCAATGGACGACCCAGTTACTCAAGGAATGGTCCAGTTAATCAAGGGATTACCCAGTTACTCAAGTGATGGACCAGTTACTCAAGGAATGGCCCAGTTACTCAAGGAACGGCCCAGTTACTCAAGGGGTGGCCCAGTTACTCAAGGGATGGCCCAGTTACTCAAGGGATGGTCCAGTTACTCAAGGGATGGCCCAATTACTCAAGGGATGACCCATTTACTCAGGGGATGGCCCAGTTACTCAAGTGATGGCCCAGTTACTCAAGGGATGGACCAGTAACTCAAGTGATGGACCAGTTACTCAAGTGATGGACCAGTTACTCAAGGAATGGCCTAGTTACTCAAGGAATGGCCTAGTTACTCAAGGGATGGCCCAGTTACTCAAGGGATGGCCCAGTTACTCAAGTGATGGTCCAGTTACTCAAGTGATGGACCAGTTACTCAAGGAATGGCCTAGTTCCACAAGGAATGGCCCAGTTACTGAAGGGATGGTCCAGTTAATCAATGGACGACCCAGTTACTCAAGGGATGGCCCAGTTACTCAAGGGATGGCCCAGTTACTCAAGTGATGGACCAGTTACTCAAGGAATGGCCTAGTTACTCAGGGAATGGCCTAGTTACTCAAGGGATGGTCCAGTCTATCAATGGACGAACAAGTTACTCAAGGGATGACCCATTTACTCAAGGGATTACCCAGTTACTCAAGGGATGACCCATTTACTCAAGGGATGACCCAATTACTCAAGGGATGGCCCAGTGACTCAAGGGATGGCCCAGTTACTCAAGGGATGGCCCAGTTACTCAAGGGACGACCCAGTTACTCAAGGGACGACCCAGTTACTCAAGGAATGGCCAAGTTACTGAAGGTTTGGCCCAGTTACACAAGGGATAAACAGTCTTTAATATTATCTTAACCGTGTCAACCATGTTAACAGACAAAGTGAACTAACAAACAAAGTTGTCTCCTTTCCCAGCTGTCTCCTGTGATGAAATACATTGATGACATGTTGTTTGACTTCATATTGCATAATTCGTCAATTCTTTTCTGCAAAACAAATCAAATATCAGTACTGGGTATCAGAGATCTGAACTATCAAGAAAAGTTCCTTACACTTGGATCATTTAAAGATCTCAAAATATATTTCACTAAACATACTTAGCTGTCTCAATGCTGAATGGTCAATTTGTATTACTTCACACGTATTACCACAGCAATAGTATTTTCCTTAAAGTGATACACAAACATGATGTTTAATCAGTCATTATCAGGGGAACTTCCACATTAAATAATCACGGGTGGCCCAGTCACCTACATTCACTGTGCAGAGTTGCTTCCCATGGGCACAGCAGAAACCAACGAATGTGGGTTCGAATCCCGGTTCGCCCAGATTATGTTTCTAGGTTTGCCAGCACCATACCCGTGCTTGTGGGTTTCAGCGGAGTGAGACCTGCATCACTTCTGGCTTTCCTCCCACACTATACTGACACTTCTCCTGGCTTGGTCTTGTGTTCACTGTCCGACTGTCATTTGTTTCATTTTGTTTTATTAGCGCCTCGCCCAATATTATTCTGCTCACTTAATATGACACAAGGTACAGCAACTAAAGAGACCACCACAAATTTATTATGCCGAAATGCTTTCACTATTTGGTGTTTTTATTGCACATATCATGTCAAACTAAAAACTTCACAACAACAACCCTTAAGTTTAGGATCAAAGGGAGACTACTCTTCAAACCTTAGCTGGCAAACCTTATGGAAATGTTTAACTATAGTCTTTATCAATAAAGTCATGAACGGGATTTTTGTTTAAAATGTCTGTCCTTGCACATCACAATTAATTATATTAAAACACAAACAGTGTTGAATGACCAATGTACCAGAATTTGTATGTGAAATATATGAGGGGGATGTGTGAAAATCCAAGATGGCTGTTACTGGCATACAGTCTCACATTTGGTCAGTAACAACCATCTTAGATTTTTAATGACGGTATACGGGCTCGTGTGGTGTCAGTAGTTCTGCTCTCACTTTGAGCCATAATGAAACAAGATATAAGTCAATCTAACAACACTATCAAGTGGTGTACACAGGAATCATAGACTAAATGTTCAGTCGTCAAAGATAAGGCATTGCATATCAAACAAAACGTGAATTAATTCCCATTTTACACCAGGTTCTGTATTGCTTATGTAGAAATTACACCTGGAACACAGGATGAAACAATCTGTACATTTATTTGACTGCAGTCTCAAGTGCAATCCACAGATCCAACTGAAAGTTTTCTGCAAATGTACACTTTGTATGACTGTAGAATTTTGGATTCGGCAAGGAAGTGAGTTGCCACTGTGCCAGCTTTAAACAAAATAGACAACAGGCCTCAGAGAGAGAAGCCGGGTCAACGGCTTGCACAAAATTAATAAATGCCCTGGGGCCATGTGCACAAAATGATCTTAGCGCTAAGACTATTTTAAGCCTGTGTTAAAGTATGGGAGTTAAGATCATCTTTGCGCTAAGATCGCTTTGTGCAAGTGGGCCCTGGTGTCTAATAGAGGAAATACAGATTGCACACTAAATCCCATTCTATTTTCAGTTGAACTGTGAGAATAATTTCAATTTTAAAAAATTTAATACCGGTACTAACTTTAAAAACAGACCTGAATGTAAATGAAAACTGTCACCATACCCTGAACAAAAGTTCCTCCTTGGTTTTGGCACTGAACATGAGGATGACCTTGTTTGGGCACATGCTGCGTGTCGTCGCCGTCTGCTGCAGATCATGAACGTGGCTCAGCATACTCATGAGGGGGTTGATCCCGACCCCACCCGCCACAAGCAGCAGGTTTGTGGGAGGCTCCTCGCCTGGCTGAGGGTCATAGAAGTAGTCGCCACCCACACGCAGGTCCACTTGAGCCCCCACCTTGCACTGGTAAACATGAGCCAAGCATACCGGTAGATGCATAAATAAATCTCGGTATGTCAGACCGAAAACAGAATTAGTTAAATGGAAGTTTATTTCACTGATACTGATTGGTAATTGCTGAATACAGACTCTGTACATAAATGATTAAATTGGATCATGTTGATCAGAATGTGCAATCAAGAGGAGATGTTTATGACCAATGACTCAGAATGCTTTGCATTTTTTAATAAGGCCATTGGCAGCCATATTTGATTTACGATCAAGATGCCTTGAATCGAACTGAGTACTACATAAGGTGATCGTCTCACAAAGTTTCAAGTCTCATGCCCTTTAAGTTTTTGCGAAGAAGATCTTTTTAATCTTATGTTTCCAAGTCAAAAATGGCTATCTGGCAGCCATATTGAAATTCCAGTTTTGATCCCTTGAAGACACTTAATCCCCTTAAAGTAACACACATCCACACAAATTTCAGATGAATCCGTTGAGTCATTTCAGAAAAGAAGTCAAAATATAAAAAGTTTATGGCTGCCGCCAATGTCTGTTCATCACTGATAAAATTTCTGATCACTTTGATCAAAGATTAATCAGCAACTGACTGTTGTACTACCCAGTTAGTCCCACTGAGATAATGATAGAGTTATTCTGAAGACTGTTAGAATTTGAGGCTGATTTTTGGTGTTCTTATGTGTTATTCCTCTCCAGGCCAGTAAGATTTCAGGTTAACTTCTACTGCTATGTATTAGTTTTTTAATTCATAAATTGAGAAATTATGTCACTTCCAAATCTAAAAAAAATTCTGACCTTTGTATGCACCCAGTGTGCAGGTGGATGAGGGCTGCGTTTGACTGCCAGTTGCAGCATCCCGTCCCTATGTAGCAGACCCGGTGACGACCACATGGAGAAGCCCCCTACTGTATCTACACCAGGGATGTGGCTATCCACCCTGAACACAACACCATATCATGGTAAAAACAGTGTTAGCGACCCGGTGACGACCACATGGAGAAGCCCCCTACTGTATCTACACCAGGGATGTGGCTATCCACCCTGAAAACAACACCATATCATGGTAAAAACAGTGTTAGCGACCCGGTGACGACCACATGGAGAAGCCCCCTACTGTATCTACACCAGGGATGTGGCTATCCACCCTGAACACAACACCATATCATGGTCAAAACAGTGTTCGCGACCCGGTGACGACCACATGGAGAAGCCCCCTACTGTATCTACACCAGGGATGTGGCTATCCACCCTGAACACAACACCATATCATGGTCAAACAGTGTTAGCAGACCCGGTGACGACCACATGGAGAAGCCCCCTACTGTATCTACACCAGGGATGTGGCTATCCACCCTGAACACAACACCATATCATGGTAAAAACAGTGTTAGCGACCCGGTGACGACCACATGGAGAAGCCCCCTACTGTATCTACACCAGGGATGTGGCTATCCACCCTGAACACAACACCATATCATGGTAAAAACAGTGTTAGCGACCCGGTGACGACCACATGGAGAAGCCCCCTACTGTATCTACACCAGGGATGTGGCTATCCACCCTGAACACAACACCATATCGTGGTCAAAACAGTGTTAGCGACCCGGTGACGACCACATGGAGAAGCCCCCTACTGTATCTAAAAAAGGGATGTGACTATCCACCCTGAAGACAACACCATATCATGGTCAAAACAGTGTTAGCGACTCGGTGACGGCCATATGGAGAAGACATCTACTGTATCTACACCAGGGATGTGGCTATCCACCCTGAACACAACACCATATCATGGTCAAAACAGTGTTAGCGACCCAGTGACGACCACATGGAGAAGCCCCCTACTTTATCTACACCAGAGATGTGGCTGTCCACCCTGAACACAACACCATATCATGGTCAAAATAGTGTTAGCGACCCAGTGATGACCACAAGAAGAAGCCCCCTACTGTATCTACACCAGGGATGTGGCTATCCACCCTGAACACAACACCTTACATGGTAAAAACAGTGTTAGCGACCCAGTGACGACCACATGGAGAAGCCCCCTACTGTATCTACACCAGGGATGTGGCTATCCACCCTGAACACAACACCATATCATAGTCAAAACAGTGTTAGCGACCCGGTGACGACCACATGGAGAAGACCCCTACTGTAACTACACCAGGGATGTGGCTATCCACCCTGAACACAACACCATATCATGGTCAAAACAGTGTTAGCGACCCGGTGACGACCACATGGACAAGCCCCCTACTGTATCTACACCAGGGATGTGGCTATCCACCCTGAACACAACACGATATCATGGTAAAAACAGTGTAAGCGACCCGGTGACGGCCACATGTAGAAGCCATCTACTGTATCTACACCAGGGATGTGGCTATCCACCCTGAAAACAACACCATATCATGGTCAAAACAGTGTTAGCGACCCGATGACGACCACATGGAGAAGCCCCCTACTGTATCTACACCAGGGATGTGGCTATCCACCCTGAACACAACACCATATCATAGTCAAAACAGTGTTAGCGACCCGGTGACGACCACATGGAGAAGCCCCCTACTGTATCTACACCAGGGATGTGGCTATCCACCCTGAACACAACACCATATCATGGTCAAAACAGTGTAAGCGACCCGGTGACGACCACATGGAGAAGCCCCCTATAGTATCTACACCAGGGATGTGGCTATCCACCCTGAACACAACACCATATCATGGTCAAAACAGTGTTAGCGACCCAGTGAAGACCACATGGAGAAGCCCCCTACTGTATCTACACCAGGGATGTGGCTATCCACCCTGAACACAACACCATATCATAGTCAAAACAGTGTTAGCCACCCGGTGACGACCACATGGAGAAGCCCCCTACTGTATCTACACCAGGGATTTGGCTAACCACCCTGAACACAACACCATATCATGGTCAAAACAGTGTTAGCGACCCAGTGACGACCACATGGAGAAGCCCCCTACTGTATCTACACCAGGGATGTGGCTATCCACCCGGAACACAACACCATATCATGGTAAAAACAGTGTTAGCGACCAAGTGACGACCACATGGAGAAGCCCCCTACTGTATCTACACCAGGGATGTGGCTATCCACCCTGAACACAACACCATATCATGGTCAAAACAGTGTTAGCGACCCAGTGACGACCACATGGAGAAGCCCCCTACTGTATCTACACCAGGGATGTGGCTAACCACCCTGAACACAACACCATATCATGGTCAAAACAGGGTTAGCGACCCGGTGACGACCACGTTGAGAAACCCCCTACTGTATCTACACCAGGGATGTGGCTATCCACCCTGAACACAACACCATATCATGGTAAAAACAGTGTTAGCGACCCGGTGACGACCACATGGAGAAGTCCCCTACTGTATCTACACCAGGGATGTGGCTATCCACCCTGAAAACAACACCATATCATGGTCAAAACAGTGTTAGGGACCCGGTGACGACCACATGAAGAAGCCCCCTACTGTATCTACACCAGGGATGTGGCTATCCACCCGGAACACAACACCATATCATGGTAAAAACAGTGTCAGGGACCCGGTGACGACCACATGAAGAAGCCCCCTACTGTATCTACACAAGGGATGTGGCTATCCACCCTGAACACAACACGATATCATGGTAAAAACAGTGTCAGCGACCCGGTGACGACCACATGGAGAAGCCCCCTACTGTATCTACACAAGGGATGTGGCTATCCACCCTGAACACAACACCATTTTATGGTAAAAAAACGTTGTTAGCGACGCGGTGACGACCACATGGAGAAGCCCCCTACTGTATCTACACCAGGGATGTGGCTATCCACCCTGAACACAACACCATATCATGGTAAAAACAGTGTTAGCGACCCGGTGACGACCACATGGAGAAGCCCCCTACTGTATCTACACCAGGGATGTGGCTATCCACCCGGAACACAACACCATATCATGGTCAAAACAGTGTTAGCGACTCGGTGACGACCACATGGAGAAGCCCCCTACTGTATCTACACAAGGGATGTGGCTATCCACCCTCAACACAACACCATATCATGGTAAAAACAGTGTTAGCGACCCAGTGACGACCACATGGAGAAGCCCCCAACTGTATCTACACCAGGGATGTGGCTATCCACCCTGAACACAACACCATATCATGGTAAAAACAGTGTTAGCGACCCAGTGGCGACCACATGGAGAAGCCCCCTACTGTATCTACACCAGGGATGTGGCTATCCACCCTGAACACAACACCATATCATGGTAAAAACAGTGTTAGCGACCCAGTGACGACCACATGGAGAAGCCCCCTACTGTATCTACACCAGGGATGTGGCTATCCACCCTGAACACAACACCATATCATGGTCAAAACAGTGTTAGCGACCCGGTGACGACCACATGGAGAAGCCCCCTATAGTATCTACACCAGGGATGTGGCTATCCACCCTGAACACAACACCATATCATGGTCAAAACAGTGTTAGCCACCCGGTGACGACCACATGGAGAAGCCCCCTACTGTATCTACACCAGGGATTTGGCTAACCACCCTGAACACAACACCATATCATGGTCAAAACAGTGTTAGCGACCCAGTGACGACCACATGGAGAAGCCTCCTACTGTATCTACACCAGGGATGTGGCTATCCACCCGGAACACAACACCATATCATGGTAAAAACAGTGTTAGCGACCAAGTGACGACCACATGGAGAAGCCCCCTACTGTATCTACACCAGGGATGTGGCTATCCACCCTGAACACAACACCATATCATGGTCAAAACAGTGTTAGCGACCCAGTGACGACCACATGGAGAAGCCCCCTACTGTATCTACACCAGGGATGTGGCTAACCACCCTGAACACAACACCATATCATGGTCAAAACAGTGTTAGCGACCCGGTGACGACCACATGGAGAAGTCCCCTACTGTATCTACACCAGGGATGTGGCTATCCACCCTGAAAACAACACCATATCATGGTCAAAACAGTGTTAGCGACCCGGTGACGACCACATGAAGAAGCCCCCTACTGTATCTACACCAGGGATGTGGCTATCCACCCGGAACACAACACCATATCATGGTAAAAACAGTGTCAGGGACCCGGTGACGACCACATGAAGAAGCCCCCTACTGTATCTACACAAGGGATGTGGCTATCCACCCTGAACACAACACCATATCATGGTAAAAACAGTGTCAGCGACCCGGTGACGACCACATGGATAAGCCCCCTACTGTATCTACACCAGGGATGTGGCTATCCACCCTGAACACAACACCATTTTATGGTAAAAAAACGTTGTTAGCGACCCGGTGACGACCACATGGAGAAGCCCCCTACTGTATCTACACCAGGGATGTGGCTATCCACCCTGAACACAACACCATATCATGGTAAAAACAGTGTTAGCGACCCGGTGACGACCACATGGAGAAGCCCCCTACTGTATCTACACCAGGGATGTGGCTATCCACCCTGAACACAACACCATATCATGGTCAAAACAGTGTAAGCGACTCGGTGACGACCACATGGAGAAGCCCCCTACTGTATCTACACAAGGGATGTGGCTATCCACCCTGAACACAACACCATATCATGGTAAAAACAGTGTTAGCGACCCAGTGACGACCACATGGAGAAGCCCCCAACTGTATCTACACCAGGGATGTGGCTATCCACCCTGAACACAACACCATATCATGGTAAAAACAGTGTTAGCGACCCAGTGGCGACCACATGGAGAAGCCCCCTACTGTATCTACACCAGGGATGTGGCTATCCACCCTGAACACAACACCATATCATGGTAAAAACAGTGTCGGAGACCCGGTGACGACCACATGGAGAAGCCCCCTACTGTATCTACACCAGGGATGTGGCTATCCACCCTGAACACAACACC